GGAAAAAAATATGAGAAAATGTAAAAATGGAATTAAAGTGTTTAAAGGTAGGGAGGGGAGGAGAGGGTGAAGGGAAGGTGGGGACAAGGGGGAAAAATGATAACCAAGACCTGGCATGTAAAGGGACAAGATCCCAGTAATGAATGTAACTGTACCATCTACCTAGAATGTACTAATAAATTCAATTAAAAAAAAAAAAGGACTAAGTCTTTGCATAAGGGAAAGAAAGTCATATTGAAACCAAAAGACAGGGGAATAACACAAAGCTTAATCATGGATTTTACATTGAACAAGTTGTTCTTTAAAAATAAAGGATACAACATCTGATATTAAACATTCAAGGACCCAGGGAATAATGTTCTTGTGATCCCTTCTACTAAAGAATAAGCTCCAAATCAGTAAGAAATGATTGGAAAAACTGACATAAGGACCAACAGCAAGCACTAAATGTCCTACCCATAGAACTAAACCAGTGATGGGGATAAAATGACAGAACAGTTAACACTTAGTTCCATGTTCTCACCATTTAAGGTTATATAACTATCAAAAATACGGAGTTGGGGAATGGATGGAGAAGGCTGTATCTGCCAACAAGATATTCTCTGTGAAAATAAAAGGCTGTGACTACATGAGATGCTGGGCAAAGAACATAAAGGGAAGGCACTACTTTGTATTTCAGTGTTCTTACACCAGGGAACCAAGAAAATAGCTAGACAAGAAAGAAATAAAGGTATCATATAAATATATCAACTTTAAAGGGAGCTGTAAGAATAAAAATATGCTTCTTTTCAAATACCAAAAGTTGGGTGAAGGGAGGGCAGGGACAAGGAGAAAAAATGAGAACTAAGACCTATCGTGTAAAGGTACAAGATCCCAATGATGAATGTAACCGTACTGTATATCTAAAATGTGCCAATAAACTCAATTAAAAAAAAACACTAAATACCAAAAGTAATATATTTTTAGAGAAAGGAGAGAACAATAACAACAAAAGACTATGGTTTTTCTACATCATCCCATTCAATTCTTATACGGCTATTTATCCCAATTCATAAAGGAGGATGCAGGTTCAGAGAAGTTAATCACACAGTTAGAAAAGTATAAATCTAGAAACCAGAGAGGGATCTGTTATCAGAATGATTTTTTTCCCCATGCTTTGCAATGGTAATAATTTCCTTATTAGTTAGAATTAGTGAATATAAATTCTGGTTCCACACTTAAATAAGGCACATCTAACACACAACTGCTAACAAGGAAAACATGATAGTTGAATTACTTAGAAAATGTAATACAGTATACTGATGTTTTAATGATAAAATGGTAATGATTAAATCGCTTAAGAATTTGTATATAACTACTTTAGGGTCACAGACTATTACTGCATAGGGTCACAAAAACTATCTAAGAAAGGCAGAAAGCTTTGATATTGCAGCAAATTGAGGATTTTGGTAATAAGATGTAAAACTGATTATTCCACTTAGTACTGTGATTGCACAATCTTGGGCAAGTTTCGTAATCTCTTGCATTTAAGCTTATGTATAAAATATGAATAATATTTACAGTGTTGCTAAAAGGATTAAATGTTATGATGTAAATGAAACAGTATCTTTAGAACATGGTAAGTGCTTGTTAAAGTGCCTGGTGTGATTGCTTTTATTAGGTAAATACCATCAACAGTCTAATAATTGAACATAATTGGTCATATGAAGGCAAGTACATTAAATTCTGTACAAAAACATTTCACTGTGCTTGCTTATAGATTTTAGGTCTTTAGTATTATCTTAAAAATACAGAAGACATTATATTTAAAACATTCAAGAGTCCTCTTGACATGGTAACTTTTAGTTTCTTCTTCAGAGCCAAAATAAGAAATACCTGTCAACTGAACACACCACTTGAATATTATCAGAGCATTTTTATTAGATATTTTTGGAAACAAAAACCAAACCCAAGGTATACTGTCACAAAGATCAGAGATTATATGAACATATGCAAAAGAAACACCCAAGTATGATTATTTTATGACTATAATGGGATTTTTATAACAGTTTTCAAAACACAGCAAAAGTGATATAAGAAGATCTAACCTAAATCCCATCTAGTGAGTTCTAGTTATTAACATATCAAGTGAGGTAGCACCAATGTGACTCTACTGTGTGACCTCTGGATGTTGTTGTGGTAAAGCCATATACTTGAGGGACGTTGGAATGAAGGAGCAGGAGCCAGACAGAATTAGCTGGGGGAGGGTGAATGAAGAAGAAACTGGTTCTACCTATACTGTAAGCTTGATGAACAGTTTTCCAATGACTAACGGATAGAGGATGTTCCACATAATGGCACACAGGGCACCATCAACCTCAGCCACAAAGATGTGTTCCAGAGATGAACTTCTGGAAGGGAAGAATAAGGACTTCAGTGACCCTGCTTCCCCATAAAAACAAAAACAATTCCAAGCAGACAAAAGAAAGAATACATGAATGGGAAGACAGATCAGCAGAGATTATGCACTTTTAGTCATGAAGAAAAAAGAATGAAGAAAAATAAACAGAACTCCAGAGACCTGTAGGGCAACATCAATCACAGCATCATAAATGGAGTCCCAGAAGGGGGTGAAGGGAGGGCAGGGCTAAGGGGAAAAAAATGAGAACCAAGACCTGTCATGTAAAGGTACAAGATCCCAGCGATGAATGTAACTGTACTGTATACCTAAAATGTACCAATAAACTCAATGAGAGAGAAAAAAATGGAGTCCCAGAAAAAAGGAAAAAGGGGAAGAAAGAGTATTTAAATAATAGCCACAAACAACTCAAAAGTTGTTGAAAAATATCAATTTAAACAATGAACTCTGGTTGGAACTCAATGAACTCCACGTAGAATAAAGTTGAAGAGATCCACATCTAGACACATCACAGTAAAATTCACAAAAGTTACAGAGAAAAAGACAGTTAGGGAAGAATTCTATACCTAGCAATACTCTCCTCTCAAAAACGAAGGGGAAATTAAGACATTCCTAAATAAACTAACACTGAGAGAATATATAACTAGCTGATTTGCCATACAAGAAATACTAAGAAAGGAACTAAAGGCTGAAACAAAAGGTATCTATCATACAGTATCTCAAATCCACAGAGAGAAACAAAGAGCATGTGCAAACATAATAACATAGGTAAATATAAGACAGCCTAACTGTAATTTTATTTTCATTTTCCTCATTTACAAGGAAGCCATACAAAGCAACTAATTATAAGACTTTGTCGGGGGGCATATAATGTGTAAAGATGTACATACAATAAACAATAGTAACACCACAGCAGGGAAAATGGGTGGGGTGTACTGGACTGAAAATTTATACACTACTGAAATCAAATAATACAACAAAATAGATTATTTTAAAATTCTAACTGAGGGACTAGGGATTTAGCTCAGTGGTGCTACTGCCTGCTCACAAACATAATAAGGTCCCGAGTTTGATCCCTGGTACGGAAAAAAAAATTAAAAAAATAAAATTCTAACTGAAACACATAGGGCAACCCCCAAGAAAATAACTCCACAAAATACTGTTAAAGAAACAAAGAATTCAAAATGATACCCTAAAAAGATATTTATTTAATATAAAAGAAGGCAGTAATGAGGAAGGAGAACAAAAGATGGAAAACAAACGGCAAATTAACAGTTATAAATCCTACCTTATCAGTAATTAAATGTAATTGGATTAAACACTTTAATAAAAAGGCAGAGATTGTCAAAATTGATTTTTGTTTTGTTTTGTTTTTTCCCAGTACCAGGGATCAAACTCAGCACCTTGCACTTGAGAGGCAGGCACGGTGTCACTGAGCTAAATCCCCAGCCCTAAAATGGGTTTTAAAAAATTATCCACACACACACACACACACACACACACACACACACACACACTATTTTACAAGAGACACACTTCAGATTCAAAGAAACAAATAGGTTAAAAGTGAAAGGATGGAAAAGATAAATAATGCAAACAGTACCCAAAAGAGAGTTGAAGTGGCTTTATTCACATCAGTCAACATGAACTTTTACCCAGAGGTTGCTGCTAGAGAGGAAGGACTTTTTCAAAACAAAGGCCACTTAGGAGGAAGATGTAACAATTACAAATCTATTCACCTATCAGTTGGGACTCAAGATGCATGAAGCAAAAACTTACAGAAAGTCAACAACTGGAGACTTCAACAGAGGTTAAGAGAAGACTTGCCCAACATCATATACCACCTAGGCCAGCAGACTTCCACAGAGCACCCACCTGGCCACAGAACCCACGCTCAACCACAGGTGAGACAGACTCCAGGGAATCACATGGGAAATCAAGTGTATGATTTTAGATGAATGTAAATAAAATACATAACATTAAATCTTTAAAAAACTTGTACATCAATATTTGTCACAGCTCTAGTCACAATGCAGTCAAAAGGTGAAAACAGCTTACATATCATATATCTGATAAATGGATAAAAGAATGTAGTATATTCATGCAACAGAATATTTTTCAGTCATAAAAGGGAACATACTAATTCATGCTACAACATGGATGAACCTTGAAAATGCAGTTAAGAGTATAAGACAGAAAAAGCCATATGTGATGATTTCATTTATATAAGATATGCAGAGTAGGTAAATTCACCGAGACAGGAAGTAAATGAGTATCTGTCAGGGCAAACAGAAATGGGGAGAAGGGGAACTACTATGATAAGAGTTTCCAGTTTCCACTGGGGGTGATGAAAAGATACAGAAGCAGACAGTGATAATTGCTGCATGCCACTGTGAATATGCTTAATGCTACTGAATTATGAACTTTAAAATAGTTTAGTCAATGTCGTGTCGTTTATTACTATAAAACAATATTCGGGAAACATTATGTGAAGAAAACACATTAAAGTCATATTAAAATGATACTCTGAATCTAAAAAGAGAACCATGATTTCAGAATACTGAAATGTTAAGAATTGTCAATACACAATTATGTCTCATACTTGTATGTGAGGCCAAGAGGCCTCAAGCGTGGGTTCATCCTCTTCTGGATCAAAGTCTGGATTATCACTTGGAGGAAGAATACGGAAGATGTTAGCACTGATCTGTAAAGAAACATAAATTTAGATTTATGTTCTTTGTTGTACAATTGAATTTAACAATGTAAAACATTTTAAAGATTACTTTAAGAAAAACGTTACTTTTGTGGCTATAAATTTACTTTAAAATCTACAAAGCTCTTCAAGATATGAAAGAGACAGGGCTTCTCTCTTTTTCTACCCAGTAACTCTGACTTCCTTAGGCCCAAGCTACTGAAGATTATAGGTTAGCTCTACAGTTCTTCATCATTATTATTTTTGGGGGGTGGGTTGAGACAGGGTCTCACTACGTAGTTGTGACTGACCTGGAACTCAATATGTAGCCCTGGCTGGTCTTGAACGCACAGAGATCCTCCTGCCTCAGCCTCCTGAGTGCAGGGATTACAGGCGTGCGCCACCAAGCCCAGCTCTACAGTTCTTTCTTAAATTACAAGTTATTCTTTCCAAGTTTTGTTTAAAATGAGTGAAAGGAAGAGAGAGAATTTGGGGGGGAAAGGGGGTAAAAATGACTAATTTCACCTATCTCTAACTTGAGTTGATTCTTTTCATGTTTTCACAATTGTTCCCATATTCTAATGCAACTATATACCATAGTTATAAAACAAAACAGTTTGGTAAAATATCTGCACTGTAATATATACATACCAAATTTAGGGAGGAGAGAGCAAAACAGAATGCTTTCACTATTATTACACTGCATTTCATCTATTCTGAGACATTTAAAAAACACATTAATCTCTTGAAATCAGAATGTACTCTGAGATTCTTCACTGTAGACTCAATGAAATGTGGTATTTATAATTTCATTCTTTGCATCATCTATCTTAGTACCAAAGCAATCAATCATATATCCCTTTTCTCCAGCAATGAACAGATTGTAGTCCCAACCTACAATTCTTTTGAAAATAATGAATCCTGACCAAATTGTTTAGTAAACATTTAAGGCAGACACTGAGGGACTGATCACTTGAGATAAAGTATCCAAGGTGCAAGACAAACAATGTTTGTATAAACAAGATTCCAGCTACTCTTATGAAGTAGCATCAATGGTAGACAAATGACTGCAAATAGCATTACTGCATCCCCGAGACTCAGAAAATAACCCAGAATTCTATCAAAGCCAGCACTTAAGGGCAAAACAGTGTGATGGACACCAATTTCGGTAAAAGTCATAGAAAGAATTGAAAAAAGAAATGAATCTCGTATTTGTCAGTAGTAAAAAATAGTTAACCTTGTAGCCATGAATAAAATTGTCTGTATGTAACAGATACTCAGAAGATCTTTTTAAAGGTCTAAGTGGCTAAACCCTTATCTAAACTGTCCAAAAATTAAAAAATATATATATACACGCAACTTTTCACTTGAGCAAATAAACTAAATCCCCAAATGTATTAATATATACAGAGTAATATGACTGAAATATGTGAGTACTTTTGCTATCTGAGGACAATTTTATAAAGATTAAAAATAAGGTATCTGCCACTGGATCTTCAAAATTCCTAAAGAGAAACCATTAGTAACAGCAGAAAATACTGTTTTTAACCTTTGAACCTTTTAAAAAATAGAAGTCCATCAAATATTTAATATTCATATTCTCAAACTCACCACCTTATTATTTGTGGAGCATAAGAAGCTAAATTTATTTTGATTAATGTTCTATCTATACCATATCTTCATAAACTTTTAAGGCTTTTCTTAAAAAAAAAATTCCTAATTTTCTAAATACTTCAGACAGATCTTCTAGTATGATGAAAGAAAATCTAGTTTGTTAGAGTAAAATTTATCTTTTCTATTAAGCACTTTGCTCTTCTCCCAGAACACATGGAAGGGGAAAGAAATAAAAACATCTATACGTTACACTTACTATTACTATTTTTCTGGGATTTTTTTTTTGGGGGGGGTACTGGGGATTGAATTTGGGACCTTGCACTTTCGAGACAAGAGGTAGAACCACTGAGCTAAATTAAATCCCTGGCCTATTTTCTGGGATAATTTTAAATTATGTACTTAGCAACTCAAATTATTCCAGCTGAATTTCTGTATTATATTAGTATGCAACAAAATAAAAAAATCCAAATGTTAAACAAATTTCTACTGTTTGATGAAAAATGAGGACAAGTTACTAAACATAAACAGCCTCTTAAGCAACCTTACTTCAATCAGTTGGCAGATTTTTCACGTTAGATATTTATTTATACAAGCTGAGTGTCCCTCATCCAAACTGCATGGATAAGAAGTATTTTGGACTTTGAACTATTTGTATATACATAATGAGATATCTGGGGAATGGAGCCCAAGTTTAAAAACAAAATTCCTTTATGTTTCATATATTCCTTGTTTGAATGTAATTTTGTACAGTATTTTTAGTGTACCTGTTTTGACTTTATCCTATCACATGAGGTCAGGTATTGAAATTTTCTGCCTTGGAAGTTTTGTGTCAGTGCTCAAAAAATTTTTGCATTCTAGATTTTGAATTTTTGGATTAGGGATGCTCTCTATAAGGAGCATTACTTAACTTTTTAATGGTCCTAAGTTTTAACTCAAGTGTTACAATCTGCTAATATATTAACATGTCCTCAATAGGATTTCTTTTAAATCTGACTCCCTTTCCCACTGCTCAAATATGGAACTGCTGCAGTTTTGCACTGGTCTCCTCCCCCTTCACAAGCTCTCTCAGTGAGTACTGACCCATTATTTATCAGCTTTTGTAATTCCAAGCCTGTATCTTTCTCCTGGGCTCCAGAACTGCATACATGGCAGCCCCAGCCACTCTGGCTACTGAATTCTCAAACTCCTTTAAGCAATGACAGTGCCCTGTCAGTAAAATGGATGGAAAACCTTTCAAATGAAATTTTAAAAATGCATTCCTTGGGATGTATTCATTATTGTATATTTATCAAAAATCAGTCTCGGTTTATATATACATCTCAGATCTTAGAATTTATATGAACCCGAGGAACATAAGTCTAGAGGCTTACCATTTTTACTATATCAGAATATGCTGATTCAACAATTACACCACGATTAGTTGAAACATACTCAACCAGTTCATTCAGTGTTGCTCTTTTAATCTCTTTGCTCTTCAAGTCTGAAACAGAGTCCATGAAATCAAATAGTACACAACACTGCTGCAACTTCTGACAGAAAAGCTCTTGTTGTTCATTTGAAGTGGCATCTATAAATAAAAATAGAGAAAAACTTAGAAATAACTAATTCAAAAATTACCTTTATACATTATTTTTTGTATAAATTACTCATGTACATAAAATAAAACTCTCAGAAACCTGCTGATAAATTCACCCATCTAATCCTAATCTTGGGATTTATACTCAACGCTTTTCATTACTCTCAGTCATGAAATACTGATCCTGTTCAACATATCTGGAATCTATCCTTTTCTTATTCCCACAGTCATTTTAGACATTCATCATCCCTCATCTAGACTGTAATAATGACATCCTAATTGTTACTCTTGCCTGATCTCAACCACTATCAATCCTGATTTATCTTCAAGCTACCAAAAACGCTAAAATCTTACTGAAATGAGAATCAGAATGATCATACTCAATACTTTCCAATGGCCCTAAATAATTAAGAGAATGGAGGAGTTCAAAGTCTTCTGGCGATACCAAGTGCAACTATATACTATCAAGAGTCATCTCTCAATACTTTCCAGCAGCTTCTTCACTTTCAGTTCACCAATTTTCTGAAGACAGTACATTGTTTTCTCTACCTGGAATGCCCTTCTTCCCACATTCCCATTCTGGGAACTCTGCCTATTTATTAAACTTCAGCATTAAGTTCCTTCTCAGAAGCTTTCCTTACAGCACCAAAGCTAAACTGGTTGGTAATCTTTTACCGAAAAGTATTTTAGATGCATATCTCTATTATAGTATATATTGTGCTTTTTGGCTGTTACATCTTACATGTCTAGCATGTCTAGACTCTGAAGGCCCTAAAAGCAAGAACTAAGATTATTTATCTTTCTTTCCTCTCTCTTCCTAGTATCTAGCACAGTGCTTCCTACATAATAAGCACTCAATAAATGTTTGTTTTACCTACTTATTACAGAAATATGAGCATATTATATTAATTCAATTCTAACAAATATGACTTGTTTCCAACATTCAAAAAATAACAATTTAAACTGTGAACTTTCAAATTTGTAAACAAAGGCCTTCAATTAGATTAATTACCTGAGTTTCTTACTACACTACTGAGATTAGGTATTATAGAATAGAAAAATCTCTTCCTATACAACCCTTCTGATAAGTACATAATCTCTCCTGGGCAGTCTGTTGTGCTATATAACAAAATACAGTACTATCACTAACATTCCTAAATGACAAAGACAACTTAGGTTTTTTTTATGCATGCATACAGCCATCCTTCTACTGTTTTTCCTTACTGCCTTTCCCACTTCTTCCCTTCCACTTGTCTACTAATAGTATCCTTTAAGTGTTTTATATATATTTATTTAACTTTCACAATCCTTTGAAACAGGCTCTGAAAATTATAGAGATGATTTCCTATCCTCAAGAGATTAAAGACAGATTGTGAAGGCAAGATGAAAACATAAAAAGATAATGTTATCAAGGGCTGGGGATTTAGCTCAGTGGTTCCACCTCCTGCCTCAAAAGTGCAAGGTCCCAAGTTCAATCCCCCATGGGGGGGGGGATATAACATACATATATTTAAGACATATATGTATCTTCTCTACACAATCTGGAATCAAAACCATTTTTGAGAATACTTACAAAATTAAAAATAATTGGAAGAATTTGAAATCAAATCAGAATTAGTTAGAAGCAGAAAAGGGAGTCATTCAATGGATCTAATTGATATATTTAAGGGGGAGCGGAAAGGGAGGAAGGAGAAAGAAGGAAAGAAAAATAAGGAAAAAGTATGCCTAGTCTTCAAAGTGTGAGTCACACATGACTGGTGGGTAGTAAAACCATTTCAGTGCAGCAGGACTACAGTTTAAAAGAAACAAATCAAAGTTTATTACATGTATGGTATTATTTCACTGAATTGAACATGGGTATACAGTTATGAAGACGCCCTCATGCTACAGTTTGTAGCCCCCCAATAACAAAAGTTTGAAAGTCACTACTCTACAATATGTAAAACACTACAAGATCAAGGGCTGGGGATATATAGTACAGTGGTAGAATACTTGCTTAGCATGTATAAAGGCCCTGGGTCCTATCCCCAGCACCACAAATGAAATAAAAATTCAGTAGTACAAGACCTCATACTATATAGTGTGCTTAAGATCATAAAACAAATTTGTAATAAAGCTGGGACTCAAACCACCTAAATGCAAGAATAGTAAGAATACTATCTTTCAAATAGCAAATGTTCCTTGAAAAGCTATGTGCACAGTGCATATTAGTTAAAAAAATTACCCTTTTATCTCTTCCCCTTCCCTCTAAAATGATTGTTGACAAGAGAAAAAGAAAAAGAAAATATATAAACCTATAGTAACAAAGAGAATAGAACAAGGCCTTAAGCAAAGATTTCAACAAATCTGTGGAAAACAGAAAGAAGCAACAGAGAAAACCAAGACAAATATAGTCACATGGTAGACTAAACAGAAAAGGGATTACAGACAGGGATCCTAACTAGATTAGCTCAAGACTAAGAAACATCTGGTGAAACAAAGGAAGGGATATTAAGACATGAGCTGAAATACATGGATTAAATACAAGCCTCCATGTACTCAATAGTTATTCAAGCTCTAGGTAGAAAAAAATAGGCTTCTTTATATTTTGAAGGGTTCTAGAGAAAGATTCATACATTCTAGCTTTAAACTAGCTATATATGCCGGACCGGGGATTTAGCTCAATGGTGCCACTGCCTGTCTTGCAAGCACAAGGTACTGAGTTCAATTCCTGCAACCAAAAACCCCAAAAAACATGCCCAATTATTCTAAGTAATACCAGGCAATCCAATTCCAAAAATGACTTTCTGTTCACTTGTACATATTAATAGAAAACATGATCAGCAGACATTTAAGGAAAGCCTATAACAAAAATAAACAAAAATTGATTCAAAGGGACAATTTAGCACATCACTGTAAAAATTCAGATATCCAGGAGAAAAGACTAATTGTTCTTGCTTCAATCTAACTCAGTTTTTCTCCATACCTTACTTTTCCGGGTCAAGTTCCCAATTTCTAAGTTCCTATATGACTTGTAGGTCATAAAATTGAAGAAAGTGACTTTCAAAGTTGGTTTTCTTCATGGAAAGATCAAGAGTCACAAAGTCCTCAAAGATCACAAAACAGCAGAATAACAATGAAACTTATAGCTGAGTATGCAAGTCTCCTTTATCACTGATTTTGCTGAGATTTTACTACAGTCACTGTGATCCAAAAATATTAGATGGAAAATCCAAAAAAGAAACAATTCATACATTTTAAGTTGCTTACTGTTCTTACTGTGATGACATCTGATGTAGAGATGTGAACTGACCCTTTTTCCAAGCTATCTACAGTGTGTGCTATCTGCCTGTAATCATTTAGCAGCCAGCCATCTTGGTTATCAGATTGGAGGCTACTGCAGTGCTTGATTTCAGTAATACTTCATAACAGCAGCAAAGCACAGAAGTATTGAGGCTGACAATTCAGACATGCCAAAGAGATGCTGTGCTTCCTTAAATGAAATAGGTCCTCAATTTAAAAAAAAAATCATATCCTGAAATTGCTAAGATGTCTAGTAAGGACAAATCTACTCATGAAATTGTGAAAAGAAAAGAAATTTGTGCTAGTTTTGCTGTTGTACCTCAAACTGTAAAAGTTATGACCACAGTGTTGAAAGTGCTTAAGATAGAAAAGGCATTAAATTTGTAGATGGAAGATATGAACAGAAGAGATATTCCCACTGATAGCAATGTGCTACACTAGAAAGTACTGTGCCTAATTTATAAATTAAGCTTTGTAATAGGTATATATCGGGGGAAAAAAGCATAATGTAGATATAGGGTTTGGTACTACCCACAGTTTTAGGCATCCATGGGGGTGGGGGGTGGTCTTGAAACATATTTCCCAAGAGTAAGGGGGGTCTGTTGCATAGCCTAGTTGTTTCAGTTACTTTTCTTGTTGCCAAGACAAAATACTGGAACCCCAAAGTTAAAGGAAGGATGGTTTATTTCAGCTTACAGTCTGTAGAGATTTCACTGATGGCTGGCTTCAAGGTAGGGTGGCAGAGCAGAAGAGGTATCTCAGAGGACTAACAGTTCATGACATGGGAGGCAGAAGGCAGTAAGCAGCCAGTAGCTAGCCTGCCTTTCCCTTTTTCCCACCGATGCCACCAGCCTTTTGGTTGACCCAGAACTATACTAATGTCAACCAGAGACTAATTTAGTACCACACCCTCAATTCCAGTATCATATGCCATCTCCAAAAAACCCCACCTATAAATGCATGAGGCTTTGAGGGGACCTCCAGATACAAGCCATAACACTAGCTGATTACACAGTGACTCACATGATAATAGCATACTTTGTAAGAATATTTTGAAGTGAATTAGAAACCAGAAAAATCTTGCTAAGAAATTTTACATTGCCATTTTCTGAAGTTAGTTTATAAACCATAATTAAACCGCCTTTAAGACAAGTTTGGTTCCCCATCCCCCACACCGTATAAGTTAGACTACAGAAATGTCATAGAAGATGAAAACTCATTAAAGCCACGTTAGTTCACCCTCAAAAGAGATAAGCTTTTTAATCAGATACAAATGTAAATTAGCCAAGCTCATAAGACAATAATACTGACTTATTAATTTTAGTAATTATTCTATGTACTATACTAAGATATTCTAATCGTGTGTTCCTATAGATGGACCTACAGGAGAAGTCAAATCATTCTCCATGATGCCTAGACCTCAACTAAAAATCCAGAAAGCCAGGGGCTTTAATACTATGAAATCTAAATTATTCATATGCCTGGGAGCAGGTTCTGAGTTTTGACACAAGGATTTGTTGAGTATAGTACCAAAACCTCAACATGTGATCTCTCTATACGATCTAACCTTCCTCATAATATGGTCACTGGATTTCAAAGGCAAGAAATCCAAGAGGTCTCACAAAAGACAAGCCAAGACTTTTATGAACAAAATTATAAAACCTTCATGAAATAAAGACATATATAGAGTTATACTATATTCACAGATG